AAGAATTTTCATAAAACGTGTAAAATAGCGTGCCAGTAAAAGGTAGCAACAGTTTTTTTTCATTATCCTTTTTAGGGACGAGAAAGAAACATTGAAACAAAAAACATACTTACCTTGGTCTTAAGTATTCTTTCTCAACTGGGACTGCATTCATTGTATTTTCTTCAGGGTTTATAGGTCATATCCAGGTACATTCACATTGCATGCGTACGCCGTGAATGTCATGACACTGTCTGCAAATAGCTAAACAAAAGAATATTACTTTGAGTCAAAACCAACAATGTTTAAAACGAGTATCATTCTGTTTATTGCCTTTTTGTTTGCTGTTATATGACTCTTTTTCCGGGAAATAATATTATTATTAATTAAATGCAACAGCTATATCACAATATATTTTTATCTAGTTAGCTAAAAAATTGAATTATATTCTCTAGTTATTCAACTTTATTACTGCCATTCATATGAACTTCAGGATAACTTGTATGAACTTCAGGAGAACTTACGAGATCCAGCTTGGGCAAGCTTGCCATAGAGCTTCATAAGATGATCACATGCCTGCCCTTGCATTTCCTTGTTGATCCTGTCCATTGACGATAGCTTCGACCTCGCACATCAATGTGTTGAGGCCTTCGTCATCGAGTGACTGTTCCTTGGTAATAGCTCTCATTACCTTTCGAACTGTTCTTATACATCAGTCCCACACCCCGCCGTGGTGTGAGCCTGCAGGTGGATTAAATGTCCATTTAATACTATGTTGCACAAGGAAGTCATGGATTTTATTTTGGTTCTATTTTTCGATTTCTTGCCGAAGTTCTTTTTTGCCTTTTACGAAATTACCTCCATTGTCCAACCGCATTTCCTCAGGTTGGCCCCGTCTTGCGATGAATCTTCGTAAACCATTTATGAAGGATTCCGTATCCAAAGAATTTGCTACTTCTACATGGATTGCTTGAGTTGTTAAACAGGTGAAGATAATACCATATCGTTTCGCACTCATTCTTCCACGGCGTATACAGAACGAGCCGAAGCAATCTACACCAGTAAAGGAAAATGGGGGTTTTCCGTAGGTTACGCGATCTGCCGGGAGGCCTGCCATCTTTTGTTCGACGACAGGAGACTGTCTTTTTCTGCAGCTAACACACGCATTCAATATCTTTCGAACTGTAGCCTATGCCTTGATTATTTAAAATTGCTCTCTTATTAAAGATAATGTGTATTCTATGCCAGAGTGACCAGAGACGTGGTGGTAATATTTGCGAAACCTGTAGCCTTTCCATATTGTGATGTCCTCTGATTCTGCTTGAGCGGCTTGGGTTTCTCTATGGCGATCTTTCCGAAGACTGGATGATTTGCAGCCCTTGCCTTGGCAGTTACAAATTTGTTAATGTCCTTTATTGTGACATCGTGCTCTTCTACCCAATCTACTGTGTCTAACAATCCGATCTACTGTGTCTCGCCATTTGACTCTCATCGCATAGGGTAGGCGTTCGACTATCCTTTTCAGATTTTCCGAGTTATTTAGCTTATGTAGGTATCCAATCTTCTCCAGCGTGTTTGTGCAACTGGTTAGTTGTATTGAGAATTGCTGAAGGGCGTTCGCGTCTTCGCTCTTGATTGGTGGACAGTCGACCAGCCGTTGAAGGTGGGCGACGGCGCACCGGTACTCCTTTCCATAACGTTCTTTGAGGAGTTTTCTAGCTTCTGCGTATCCTTCGTCCTCTTTCATCGAAAGACAGCTTTTCATGAGTTCCTGTACAGAACTGCTGGTGTGTTGAACAAGGTAGTAGAGTCGTGCATTTGGGCTTGTGGTTTTTGACTCAATCAGATGCTCGAAGGAGCGGATGAAATCGCAATAGTCGACAGGGTTTCCGCTGAAGACTGGCATACTTGCTTGGGGCAGAGTCACAGCTAAGACACCCTGTTGCTGTTGGTGGATAAGTTGTTGGAGAGCGTTGCTTTGTTGGTCTTGTATTTCAACAATTTGTCGGAACGATTGTCACGTGGAGTAGATGTTGAGTTGCTGGCAAAGTCCTGCCTCAAATTGATCTTGGGAGTATTTTCCATACTTAGATGTTGGTTGTCCACTGTGGGTTCGGTTGTGAAGGGATTCTTTGACCTTCCGGTATGAGCGTCTAATAGAAGGGAAGGGTTGGATTGCTTAAGATCTTGGGCCTCGGCTTGCTCGTACACGTCTCTTTCAGCTTCGGCAGCGGCTATTTCTCTGCTCAGCTGTAACTCTTTCTTTCGTTGTTGCAGGGTGAGCTCCGCCATTTCGAGCTGATGGACACAACGTAAGGTTTTAGCCTGCGATTCTAAGGCAGCCTTCTTAGCAGCGGCCGTCGCTTTCAAACTGCTAAAACTTGTTGCCGAACCACATAGCAAGTTTGAACCAGACGATACGCGGGAACCTACTAGACTGATCGAATCTTCTGGCCGAATATGACCGCTGTGGGAGTCCGAAATGTGATGATCCTTAAAAGACTTTTCAATGTTCAGACGGCGTAGCGATATTCTTCGGAGTCATGCAACTCGTTTTCGTCACAAATTTGAGAATGATAGGCCTTGTGCGCCGTATGAAATTCATTTAAAACATCAGGCAATTCGGTCAAAAGATCCTTGATAGCTGGCAGATTATCAGAATTGTCCATCATTCCCTAATTTTATTTAGTTTTCTAGTTACGTTTGCCTTTGTCAAACTGCGCGCTTTCTTCAATTGTTGAAGTTGCCCCTGTTTGGGAGCCATAGGTATTTAACGTTAATCGCTCTTAATTTAATTGTGTCCATTCTAAGGATGCATTAATTGATCCGTAGAGATAAATCTAACAACCGCAATGACAGCGATGAAATCCGAAACGGTTTGACATAGGGTAAATTCCTCAAGTTCCTTTAACAATGCATCAAATTCGAACTAATGTAGCTTCACTGGGACAGAAATTCAATGTGAACGAGTTCCCAATAAATCTACAGATGTAGACGCAGTGCGTAGAATGAAACGCACTCAACATAGGAATTTTGATAATTTATTAACAGGATATATACAGGTTTGGGTCGAATGAGTCGATTGAGAATATTGTAAGCAGACAAACTATAGTAGCCTATCACATGAAATTAATGCGAGTATACTTGATAATTGACATAAATGAGATATACTTATTAAACTAAGAATTAGCATGCAATATAACAACTAAACCGATTTTAGCAGCGCTTATCAAAACACTTAGCGTGACAATTGCTAACTGAAACAAGTTTGGTTTGCAAACGCACCAAATTTAACTATCATGCGCGTAGATATAGCTTTGATCGAGGTAGAATAAAGATAAAATTTTTGTCTCGCAATGCGAATAGAATTGTAGCATAAACCTTTGCTTTCTTGCAAGCATCCATATTTGAGCCTCAGCGTAGAATGAGTAACCTAAGCTAGGTAGGGTGTTTTTGTGTAGCATGAACCGGATTTCATGCAAAAACATAGAAACACAGTGTTTTTTTTTTGTGACAGACATAGCGTGGCTAGGCAAGGCAACCGCATTGCGCATTTGCTAACCAAATTTATGCATTTGACGTAAATATTTGTGCTGAAACGGAAAATAACAACTTGTTTTTGCCAGAAAGTCTTTACAAAATAACAACTTGAACGACCTTCTGTTTCAAAACCAACACGTGCCATTACAGACTTGCAACGACAAAAAATAATAAACAAAACAGAGGCGAAATTTCAACTTCATCGCTGATTTTAGCTCTGCTAAATGTTTGCTCATACACTCGTTCAAGCCATTTTTCAGTCAAGGAAGGAATGCACAGCCCATGCTAAACACATGATTAATCATGGTTTAAATACTGCAGGTAAGATGTCATTATTGTGTGTATTACTGATTTTATATGTTGTATGGTTTTGAAATAAGCTTTTAGAATCTCAATATTCGTTTACATGTAAGATCATTCATTTTTATTTATTAAATATTAGTTATTAATTACATGCTTCACAGTTCACTCTCACGATTGCTCCTCCCCCATCTGAGGGAAGTTGTGTGACACTGGTCTTTGTGTTTTGTGCGCCATTGAAACTCGCGTAGAGGATAATATTGCTTTGATCTATGAAGATATATCAATATGAGATGGATAGATTGCTGAAGACCATGTTTCTGCAACTTTGAATAAATGGTTTTTGAATACAACTATATGCTCCTGTCACAAAGGTAAACAAAACAATGATAATCCTATGAAAATCGTATGAAAAGCAAGGTGTATATTTGCTTAAATATTTGCGTGCCCATAAGTTTCTCAACAGCTATAAGCAATTTAGGCATAGTAGTTTTAATTAATCTAAGCCGTAAATTGTGTATAGGTACCACTTTTGCGAAATTCAAATGTAAAATTCCCCAGTGTAACAGATTTGCGCTTACACTGGTGAACAAGGGGTTTTGAAAGACGATTTTTTTCATAATAAAACGGATATCCCAACAAAGTAAATCAAATACGGAAAGTAGAAAGGTACAATGTTAATTCAGTTAACACATTTTTAAATTTTATATAAAAATGAGGATACTATAGCAATTTTAGTAGAGGCGATTTTCGTGTTTACATTGGGTTATATTTCACTGCCAGCGTCAGTAATTTGAGAAGGCACTGTAACTCAAAAATTTAATATGTGTGGAAGCTATGAAATTGTTTCTTTACCAAGGCAACACACGGGTAACTTGTGACAGAAGTTTGGGGAGAATTAATTTTTTCAACCCAAACCAACTCAGGGCCCGTGGAGCGTATTAGAAGGTGGGGAGGCTAAATCATAAATAAAACAGCTCAGAAAACTGTGTTCCTGCACTTTTAGAGAAACTTAACAAAGATCTCTATAAGACCATAGAATCATAAAAAGCAACAAAATTGATACCTTAACAAATATAAAAACAATTCTTCTTACTAGTAAAAGACTATCTTCAGTTAACAATTTTTAGCCTTTCGTTAAAAACAAATAACACAACAAACATAAAAATAATCTTTGAGTTTTAACAGTCTTTTTCACAAAGAGCACATATGTTTGAATGCTGTCCATAATGATTGTCTGATTCAAGAAAACGACCAAAATTTCTTCTCCTATTCTCGCTTCGATCGCAAAATTCATTGGCAATACCAAGAAGGTTAAGTTTGTCGGTTCTGTCCTTATGCCCGTTTATTACCGCCAGGTTATTTAACCTTTCTTGTGACATGATTGAGCGAAGCCACGTCATTAATCTTCGAGCAGGAGAAAATGATCTTTCGGCACCTGCGCTTGTTGCTGGATTAACCAAAATACATATTGTAATGATGTGATTTATCATATTCTGTTCTAGTTCAACCAACTCCCTGATTTTAGCTATGATGTCGTAAAAAGACACACAATCAGTATCCTTCATGAGCAATTTAAAAACTTCAAGTTGGGATTTCAAGGCTCCAATATCCAAGTCATCATTGTAGTTGACTTCAAGAAACTGCAACTCTGTGGAATAGTCTTGATCGTAAAGAACTTTAAGTAAGAAAGATTCCATCTTTTCGTATACACTAAAACTTGGCTGGCCGAACCGCTGCTCAATAGCATTTATCATAAAGTTGATGCATTCAAAATATATTTGCTTGTAATAATCTTGTGATGTCGTAGGGAAGGATGGCACACCAGTTCCAATCTCAAACCTTGCAGGTGCACGTCTTTTCCTGAGTAATGTTGACTCTGAAATTGAGGGAATATTTTTACTTTTCAATAAAATAGTTTCGTAAAATAATTTGAAGCAGTCGTCACTTCGTATCTTTTGTAAGACTTCTTTCGTGAGACTGGCAAGCCGTTGGCCACTTGCAGCGCACATCTTTGTACTTTGTAATGTTTTCGACAAATTGTCAGTGTGTGAAAACAACTGTTGACCCAAATTTAATCCAAAGAAGAACTCATATGTTTTCATTTGTGCTTGGCAACCAATTATCCGTCCACATATTTCCGCCTGGAGTTTTTCATCTAGACAAATTATCCATTCTTGAAGAAGAGCTGAGTAATTGTCCAGAATTCGTTGGAAACATGATGCACATACTGTCCATCTTGTAGGACACAGCTTTATTATACCATGGGTGGCCAGTTCTCCTTCTTTGAGGTTTTCTTGTATTTCTCCCAGCAGATTTTCATGTTTTGGGGAAAACTTTATTAATGTTACAATCTCTTTTGCTACATCCATTGTATTTGATATAAACTTACAGTTTTTCTTTGTATCCTTCACAAGAAGAAATAGAAATAGAAAGAAAATCTGTTTAAACTCCATTCCAGAAACTTTGTAGGAACTATATTTAAAATATAGTAATTTCGTTTTCGGAATTTGGAGCCTGTGGTTAGCTCCTGAAAAACTTCATGTAAGATCCACATTATAGACTACTTAGCCTTCGTCTTAATTAGATACTAAGTTGAAAATACACGTCCGCAAAAACTTGCCACTTATTCTCAGAGTGTCAGACTTTTAATATTTTAATCATTTTGGTAGCCACAAGATGTGCAGGAACTAAAGCCCCCCCCCCCGTCTCCGCGGTCCCTGCAACTGGTCCAGTTTTACCAAGACGGCCTCTTACATGAAACGCCACAACATCCGAAAGTGACATTCAAATGTTTGAATCAAATTTTGTCCCTGATATAACTCCATACGCTTGGAAGAACATTCAATTTCAAGATGCTCTGGATGTTTAATTGCAGTAAAAGATCTGTATGTAATACAGTACCGTCCAGGAATAACCTAACCCCAACCTTAAACAGAAATCAACCCCACAACCAAACATCCACACACAACTCCAACCATAAGATTGGTTTCTGAGGTTTCTGTGTTTTTTAAAAAAGTGCTGGTTCATCTCATTTTTTCATTTTATTTAATTTCATCTCATTTTATTTTATGATTTCAATATAGCATGAGAGGGTGATCATTTATGAATAGTATTTTATAGAATCAGTATTTTTTGCTATTGGGTACTGCTATTGATGTTGGGGTGAATTAGAGCAATTCTGACCTGTGATATATGCACCCCTGGGTGCTTAATAATGGTGGTATACTTCTTTTACATGAAACAAACATAGTAAACTACAGTTGTTTCAAGCTAGCTACAAAAAATAATAAAATAGGTAGGCATGCGTACATGTGGGTAGCATCTGAAACATTGGCTGCGATAAAGCTATGGGTTGGCAAAAATTCTCAAGTTGTGTTCAATGTCAAACGAGAGGGTGCTATAATGGCGAGGAATGCAAGGGCAAAAATGCGCAAGTTAGATACAGCACAGTTATAGCGAAGTAGATTTTATTACATCATCTATATTATAATATTGTTTTATTGTATTAAATACATTTTAATGACAGTATCAAAACATAGATAAAAACATTTTACAAAAGATAAGAAATGCATATTTTTGGAAACAGATTTAAATTATGAAATACACACATACAACACATTGCAAGAGAGAGAATATACAAAAGGTGGACAGAACCTAAAAAAAAGACGTAAGGTTCCAGGATGGTGGCACATATTGTCTGATAACATAAAGCTTAGTTTGGAAGAAGAGAAAGAAGGTTTCAGACGTTTTCAAATTATTTCGTGTGATGTCCCATGAAAGTCACTGATTATCATCATCTCTTTTGTTATATTATAACAACATTCGTATTTTTGTTCATAAATTGAAAGTCAGTCGATTCAGTAAGATTAAACGGTTTGTCTGCAAGGTTCATTGACATTAGGTTATCACCATTAACTGGAGATATGGTATGATTTCATAGATAGAGCAAGAATGTACAGATTGTGCAATCTTCATCACAATATCTTATTAGCGTTAATTAGCCTGGAGGTGATAGTACTAGTTCATAAATCCCATAAGACTATGTGGCTTGTTTGCAAGTTTCATTGACAATATTTTATCAGTGTTGTAATTAATCCGATAAGCAGTTAACATTGAATGCTATCATTCATCACTGATATAAATGTGTATTGCTCAGTTGTAGTTTCCAGAAATGTATGATATTTTCCCTTTGTCTTGTGTGAAGTGGCTCAACGTTGCTTTAGAATAGAACTTTGTTCAAGTTTAACATCTGTTGCTGTAATGAACAGATTAGAGTGTGGTATGTTGACAGAAGATACCAGCAAAAAAGAGCGAGCTAGGATATCCAAAATTTCTGTTGTATTCTTCTCATTCTCAAGTTAATTTCGCGTTGATCCACGCTCTTGGCAACAGCAACGGTGACATTTTTTTAAAAATTTTTTGTGACTGTAGCTGAACTGTAAAAAGCCAGAACTTGTGTTATCAAAGAAAATCGAGGCATATATCTGCCATTTACTAATACGAATCATTATTTACCTTTAAACTATCAGTGTTTTAGCTTCGACATTATGTGAATAATTTGAAAATATGCCACCGGAACCTAAAGAAAGAGAAATGGTAAATTTGAGAAGAGAAAGTGAAAAAAAAAGCCGAAAAGATAAATACTAACCTTTTATTAGATTGGAGCCATGCCAATAAATATTATAAATATGAAAAGACCAAACTTTCATTACAAACAGCATATTGTTCCATTTGCTTACTGATTTCTTCATAACGAGCTAAATAGTGCTCTTCAAAACAAGAATAATTTCCCATCAAATTGGTTTGCTCATTCCGCCAAGGAGTAAAGAGCATAATTAGCTCGTAATAATGTTTTTCCGGTTGAGCCTCTTTATTAAACCAGACGTTTCGGATTACTCTAGCTTGAGATCTTTTCTTCATTTTCATACTTTCAGGAGCTTTTACAACCTGAAGTTTATCGTCATTTAACAACTCATTGTCATTATCTTCATATCATTTTCTAATGGAAGATTATCAATGTCAGGCTTGTTTGTTTTCCAATATGTTTTTTGACCACAAGAGTCATACCATGCTGCCCAGTCAGCTAGTGTCACATTTTGCAAACAATCAGGTCGTTCTACATATCTTTTTAAAAGACCACCAGACTTCCAGACCACCAGAATTTCTTCTGATTCATCAGACATTTTCTCTATTTCACTCAATGGTTTAAGTAATTCGACTCTTTCAGAAGGAGATGTGTTAATGAAAATTACACTACGTGAAGACTTTCGCATTGGAAGTTGCAAAACAATATACACTGCTTCTTGTGCACATATTTCAACAGAATTCAAATTTGTTCCCAATATTGTGAACTTGCTGTTTGATGTTTGTATTTCCCTCTTTCGCTTCAGCACAAGCTTTACGCAGAAATTCACTCATTCCTTTTTGACCTTTGGAAATATATGATACAAAATACATTGCACATGCATATACATCTAAGACATATTGAATGCCCATGTTTGCTCACCATGCCGGAAGGCAAACAGGATTGTAATTATTAATCCGTAACTCATTTAGACTTCTTTTTAAGAAGATTGTCGAAGTATTTAAAGATGATCGTATAGCAAGAATATATTGCCATTCCAAAACACCTAACTCTTGCAGTAGTTCATCAAAAGTAATGTCTTTACCTTCCTTAAAATCATTTATCTTCATCCAGTGGATAAAGGATCTGAGTAAATCTCATTAGTGGTTGTGGATAGTTGAATCTGCAAATATTTTTAGACTTTTTCCTGCAAGTGTGAGAATGTCTGTGTCTGTCTGCCTATTAACAAGATCAAGTAATTCTGTATCTTCTGGTTTGCTACAGGTAATTATGCCATCAATATAGGCAACAAGATCTTCATCTTTATCTACACCGAACAGAGGAGCATTTTCTAGCCATATCAACATATGAATATGAGGTGATCCTCGCAGTTGGTACTTGACTCTATAAAACCAATCTTTAATTTTGCCTAATGGAGAAAATTCACTCATTAAGATATCTTTTAAGAAAGTATTAAACTGAAAATCAAAATGTTTTGTACAGGTTACTGGGTCACTTTGAATCAGCCGAGATTTTTCCTCACAAGTAAGATTGTTCAATTCTTCATCACTATAATCCTTGTGATCAATAAGTTTACCAAGAATTCTTAATAAATGATTCCATTTTGTCTCTGCTGATGAGAAACTGCAAAATAATGATGCTGGTCCTAATTGACGAATCATTGCAAATAAGTCCTTTTTGGCTCATTCAAAATAAGAAGGCGAACCTCTGAGTGTTTTCAGAAATCTGAAACCATCATCATGGCTTATTAAAGTTTCTAAACCTTTTGTAGTTTTCAGATCTCCAGCAGTAAGTGTTCTGTTACCTATTTTGTCTTTTTGGAGAGCATTTTTAAAATTTGCGATTGACCAATCAAGAATTTCATTTGTAATTTCTTAGCTTTGAAGAATTATTTTCAACACACATGGCAGCCCGTCGAACAGATCCTCTTAACTCAGATTTACATATTTCACTGTAGTAAACACTTTTTAACCTTTCTTTATCATCTGGTCTTTTCTGTCCAAGGAGTATTCCTGGATATGCCATTTCTTCAGAATACTGATCTCTAAATATACTCAATGGTCTATTACCTTTACCAGGTGCAACATTATAAATTTCTTCTCTTTCAGTATTACTGACAAAATCTGGAGAAGTCAACATACTGTCAGTCACTCCAGCTGGTATCTCAGCTTCATCTTCATTCCATTCATCTTCTGAAGTGTTTGGTGTTGTTTCAGGACCTCCATCAATGGATGTTTCAATACTAGTAAAAGCCTCATCCAATGACCCTTGCAAACTGCTCAACCAATTCTCGTTGATAGTGATTTCTTGATCTTGATATAAAGGACTTGTGTTAATTAATCATGCAGCTGCTTGCATTACTTTGTGAGGTCTTATATTCATCGAAAGTCCAGAACTTTTGTACTGTATTGTTTGCTTAAGTTGAACTTTAATAGTACCGACTTCATCTGATAGACTGATAATCTAGGAAGAACATTTACTGTGCTATTTACATCTGCTGGAACATTGACGACATTACCAGTGATTTTCAGTTGGCCACCCCTGGGGGCTTGAAAAATCTTTTGAAATGCTTACCGAGGAGCAATGAGTCGGCATTCTAGTTCATTTAGATAAAAAAGAAGGTTTTTGTGGAAATTCCATGCCATTAGCAATTGCACAAGGTGGAACTTTCCCCCTCTTTAAGTGGTTGTTACAAGTTTGACAAACCCATTCAATATTATCAACCCTTTTTTTATTAGATGCCTCAGGATTACCTAATCATAAACCATTGGCAGGCAAGACACT